AGATTAATGTCTATAATAAAATGGAAAAATTAAGAACGGAATGCTTAGCAAAATAAAGAATTATTTTTTTCCTTTACTAAAATGTATATAAAAAAAAGAAATAAAAAAAATTGAATTTTTGTATTTTTGAAGAACTTAAAACTTAACAATGACCGATGAAAATTAAACAGACATAGTCTTACATCATCGAGAAATAAAAAAATAAATTAAATAATAAATCACAAAAAAATATAAATTTAAATTAAAATTTCGGCTTTTCAACTTAACTCCTGCTGCATATTTTGTTTACAGCATTTTTTAATCGCTCTCTGAATTTTTAAATTGATCCTGCAATTGGTTTTGAAAATCCCAATCAAAGGTTTACCAACTACACCTGCAGGATCTGCCAATGGGCTAGAGAGGGACGCCAGACCGCTGCCGACTCCGCTGGGAAGCCAGCAACACACAAATGCCATTAACTAGTTGGTGGCGCGACAACTTTTCACATTTTGGCCGCTGGGCATCCACAGGACACCTCAGTTCAGCTCAGCTCAGCTCGGAATGCCAGCTGGAATGCCATAAACACCAAGTGGGGTCGGGCGTCATCATCATTACCATCGTCAGCGGCTTCCTGCAGGAGCAGGCAAGGAGGTTGGAGCATCATCCTTATGCTATTATCAACAACATCAGCCATTGTCAAAGTTTGGCGCATTTATTTGGTTGCTCAATCAGCGCCCAAAGCGCTTTTGCCGTCAATGTTCGCCCAGCCCACAGTCCTCAGTCCACAGCCCCTTTGGGCCATGAGTTCGGGCTCATTTTTATCAAAGAGCCGGCGAACTCCCACTTCCACCTGCGTCGCTGCCGCCATTTACAATAATTACCATCAAATGAACAAACAAACTTTTGTGCCGCTCTTGTCCTGGACTAGCGACAAAGGCAAAAGCCGAGCCAAAAGCGCCACTGACCCCGCAATCTTCTTCCCATTTTAGCCACCCACCCACTCAAGCAGCATCTCACCCAAAAGACTAAACCTCATTTACTTGCTCTAATAACACTGGGCAGCGTGGTGTTTAAAGATAAAACGACTTTTCACAGTTTTTAAAAACAAAACTGTTTTGTAAAAATATTTTTTTTGGAAAAAATCAGATATTTTGATCTTTAAATTACATTGTTTTTTGACTAAATGGCGTGACTTTCCATTTTAGGTGCTTTTACTTAAAAATAGTTTTGTATTAAAAATTGGGAAGTTTTTAGTTTAATATGCGCAAAAGAAAGCTCCCCTTAGACATAATGATAAATTCGATTTTTCGATTTATTTTTTTAGTTTTTAAATCCCCTAACTTGCAGGCCAGTGTCGTAGTGGAGAAGCCTTTCCCAGGACAGCACCACCGAAGCGAATCCAGAATCTGGTTAGCTGGTGGTGCTTATCGTGCTGCAAGCATCACTCAAAAGTTGCGTTCTTTTTCCCTGTCGTGTTTTGTTCTTTTTCGTTTGCGCTGCTTTATTTTCACTTTTGCCAGCCAGCCGTGGCTGTCGGCTCAATTTTCCAACATTTGAACATTAGGCCGCTGAGGATTAACAATAAGTGGACGTGGTTTGGGGCGGAGTGGTTGGGTGTTTGGGGATTGAAGAACGAGCTAGCTTATGCCGCGGGCCAGGAGAAGTTAATGAGGGACAGGGGATGGAAGCCGCGCAAATGCTGCAGCCTGTCAACTCTGGTTAATGTCGAGGCCACTTGAGCCCAAACTTAAACTCCAACTTAAGTTGAGACACAGAGAAAAAGTGCACGGAAAATATCTTGTTTTTAGGTTAGTTTGTGTATTTTTTATATGTAGATAAGTACCTTTTAGGGAAAAAAATTAATTTAAACGATTGGTCAAGTAACTTTATTAAGAGAATTAGTTCTTCTTTTTCCGCCTACGTAAATTAGAGCGTCATACGGTTTTTTACTCCCTTTTTAGAAATCAGAGAATCTACGAGAAGGATAAATCCTCAAAATGATATTATTTTATATCAAGTTTATCAGTATTGCTTGGTAAAAACGATATGCGAATGTTTTTTTTTGTATGTAGGCAAAGAATTTTAATTCACACTTTCAACAGTTCTATCCATGCCATAATTCAATAATCTTCTGATTTAATAAATAATGAAATATAATAAATAAATATATAACCAAAAAATATTTTATGTAATTTTATTTTAATATTAAAATAATTTTAAAAACATTTCAGAATCCTTTTGCTTTTATTTCCCTCAGTGAACAGAGGCTGGCCACTTAAAGCTGAAGGCCAAGTGGTGTTGAGCAAACAGAATAATTTCGCTTTAAATATGTGACACAAGTGAAACCTGAAGTCTGTGCATTTGCACTCTTAGCGAAACCGCAAAATTAATTAATAACCAGTGACTTTTCGAGGGCAGCACATGTGCAATTAAAAACCGCGACAAGCCAAAAAGTCAATGGGAATTACGCCTCCAATTAGGTTTTAAGACGTGGCCGAAAAACAGACAGTCGTCGGCTGCCAGTCGGTAGAAGTTTTCCACTCAGCCAGCGCGGCAATTAAACAGAGTCGAATTTCCTAGTTGGCCAAGGTAACAAGCAGCTCGCAATTAACGCGATTAAACATGATGCCAGCTGGGGGAAAGTCTCCGGTGAAAGCCGGGGAAAATCTCACAGGGCGGCGGGGAAAGGGAAAATCTCCTCCCTCGAGTGAAGGGCGTCATCCAGCCGTGAGTCGTCAGTGTCGATGTCAGGCCATGTTTGCACTCGTATTTGTGTTTGGGCCAAACGCCTTGCAGCTTCTCAATTTATGAGGCTTAGTCCTTGCCACACCCACTACCTCATTCTCCACCCCTCCCCCTACTAGCACTAACACTAACACTAGCTAGCTGCCGTGTGTGTGCGTGTGTTTTATGTGCCCTGTAAATATTTACACAACCGGTAATGACGAGTTGGCAACTGCCATGTGGCTGCTTGAAGGTCGCAACTCGGGGGATCTTAGGGCTGCAGATTGCCATTTCAGCTGCCGGTGTGAATTCAAAATCTTGAGGTGTTTACCGAGGTCCGGGCCAACCTTTAATGGCCACATGATATGCCCCTAATGAAATGGTTATGGTAAACTAACTCTCAAGGGCCGCCGGAGGACAGACAATTGCAACTTCCTGGGTGCTGTTGACTCTGAAGATCTTTAATTTCATTAGGCAACTTTCAAGTAAATGAAGTGTGCAGCTATGTGCTGAGCTTATCGAAAAGAAAATGCAAATTAAGGAAGGTGGAGGATTATTTAAGGGAAATCGAAATACTTTACATACAAGTCATCAAAGATTTTATATTTTATAATCAAATTAGTTAAAATAAAATAAAAAAATATTTCATGCAAATAATTTTAAGGTTGATTAAATAGATTTAAAAAATATATTATAGCCAGGTAGCAATTTATTCTCATCGAACCTTTCCACCAGCCCTAAAACAAAAAGCAATATATTTATAAAATTTACTTGATTCGATTATAGCTCTCTGTTTCCCAATATATCATTACTTTTCTTGATTTATCTGCCTACACTTCCTCGAGATATTTCTATTTTAGGATCGGCCATCCATTTCTTTTAAATATGGTTATCCATTATGCATCTATATGTTATTAGGCGTGGCCTCGATGCGCAGTTTGTTTGGCACCCAGTCGCAGGTGCCACTGAGCGTATACTTAATATGCCATCTATTTTGGCAAAACTCAAGGCTAAGCGAACGAAACGAAAGCCACTGAGATGAAATGAAACGAAACCCATTCACACAGATGCGACCATCTCGACGACACACATAAATACCCGCATCTGGAGGATCTTGGGCCACTGCAGACTGGGAGGCGAAGACTGAGATGGAGAAGTGTCTTGCATTCGATAGTCGAATTCATTGTCGCCTTTATTGTTGCTCCGTTCCGTTGTCGAGAATCAATTTGGCAAAAGTCATTGCATTCAATTGTCACTTGACAAACGACAAATGGTGTTGATTCACAGACACTCGCATGCGGCAAAAAGGAGTGAGGAGACAGGCGACTGAGCCGGCCCAGGATTATTTATTTTGGACACATGTAGTTTGAAGACTTTCGGCTCGAGATCTCGAGATGGACCGAGATGTGGGCCAGCCTGCCAAGGCGTTTAAAAAGTTATTGGCCACGCAACTGGGCAACTTTTCAATTGCCGGCAACTTGGGCCTGCCAAAAAATACATTTAAAGAAGAACTGGCCCAGACAGAGCATAAATTTGCAAAGTGCCGGGCCTCGGTTAGTGCATAACTTCTGTGGCATGCCAAAAGCCACAAAACAGCAAAGGCATTGCCGTCATGAATAAAGCACTCACATTCGCATTCACGTTCACATTCACGTTCGCATTCGCACCCAGACCCAGAGAAGCACTTCAAAGCCATTCAGTGTGTGTGGCATACTTTTGTGGGAAATCAACTCGGGCCAGTTGACTGCAGTCGGGCGGCGACAGAAGTTTTTGTACGTCTGGGTTTCGTCGAGTGAGTGACAGGTCGTCGGGTCGTCGAACCCGGACCAACTGCAAACTAATTACAAACCGATTCCGCAATGTGACCGCAAAAGCCGCAAAAAATATATCAATCTTTGGCATGCTTCATTATGCATTTGAATTTTTTCCGTGAAATTGCTAGCCAAGTTTTTGAACACCGCGCTTTAAGCTGCCAACGTGGGTCGGTTCCCACACATTTTACATATTTTTTACCTCCACATATGGAATATTTTCCGACTTATTATCCAGGTATGCATCTATTTTTAGCTTCGCAAATATTAGTTTTGAAAATTAAAAAGTTTGCAAAAAATGTTTAGAATATACCGAGATGGTCCTTAAAAAAATTGTATTTCCGAACTTAATGATGCTTTAATATCTGGGAAAGGCGAAGAATTATGTTACATTATTTTTTCGGTTTTTAAATACCTGATTTTCTGTAAAATACTACATTTTAGTAAGGACTTTTTGACTCGAAGATATTAATCTTATATCCCCATTTAGCCTCCCCTGGATGCGCGCTTGCTCTGGGCAGATAATTGGGAAATCTCGTCAAGCAGCCAATTGTGGATCTGTTGCTCGTACTTGTCCTGAAAGTTTTCTAAACGCTCCGCCCCTTTTCCCACCAGTGGCGAATCGGACTCAATCAGGTTTTGGGTTGAATTAAGATCCTCCGCCTTCATGTATTTGGCAATGATCTCGCGCACCCTCGCAAACTAAAAGAAATTTAAATGCACATCAATTATTGAAGTAGAGAATATAGATTCCACTCACTTGTGTTTTCTGATGTCTGGGTACGAGACCAGCAAGAATTTCGAAATGGTCTAAAAAGTCAGGCGACAGGCAGAGCCACCTGTAGTTGCGCTCGATATACTCCCAGATGATCGGTTGGGAATACGGATTATATTTGTATATAATCACGAGATACCCCGTGCTTTTGGGATTTTTATTATGCGTTGAATTATTTCCCAGCAGGATTTCCATGTACTCCAATATGTGCTGATGACTTTTCCGGTATAAGAGCGCACCATACAAGATGTTGGAGTACTCCGGTTGCACTTTTGTCATTTGTAGCACGTTTGTGTGGAACTCCTGATCGCTCATAGCACGGATTCCCATACACAAATCAATGCGTAATTTCATTGTTTCATTTTTTTATACCCTTGCAGAGGGTATTATGATTTCAGTCAGAAGTTTGCAACGCAGTGAAGGAGACGTTTCCGACCCCATAAAGTATATATATTCTTGATCAGCATCACTAGACGAGTCGATCTAGCCATGTCCGTCTGTCCGTCTGTCCGTCTGACCGTCTGTCCGTCTGTCCGTCTGTCCGTCTGTCTGTTTCTACGCAAACTAGTCTCTCAGTTTTTGAGCTATCGGGATGAAACTTTCCCAAAAGTCTTCTTTCTATTGCAGGTAGTATATATGTCGGAGCCGACCGGATCGGACAACTATATCTTATAGCTCCCATAGGAACAATCGGAAAAAAAAACTTTTAAAAATTCTAACTTCGGTGTTTTTTGAAATATTACCTTCTACTTTTGGGGATGTTATTTTTTTAATATTTCTGAATTTCGAATTAATTATTTAAAAAATCGGACTACTATATCATATAGCTGCCATAGGAACGATCGGAAAATTAATGGAAAAGTAATAGGAAATAAATTCTAGCTTCTTTGGTTTTTGTTGTATTATCTTCTACTCTAGAATATGACTCTTTTTAAATATTTCCGAATTTCAATTTTAATTTTATCGAAATCGGACGACTATATCATATAGCTGCCATAGGAACGATCGGAAAATTAATGGAAAAGTAATAAGAAATAAATTCTAGCTTCTTTGGTTTTTATTGTATTATCTTCTACTCTAGGATATGACTCTTTTTAAATATTTCCGAATTTCAATTTTAATTTAATCAAAATCGGACGACTATATCATATAGCTGCCATAGGAACGATCGGAAAATTAATGGAAAAGTAATAAGAAATAAATTCTAGCTTCTTTGGTTTTTATTGTATTATCTTCTACTCTAGGATATGACTCTTTTTAAATAATTCCGAATTTCAATTTTAATTTGATCAAAATCGGACGACTATATCATATAGCTGTCATAGGAACCATCGGAAAATTAATAATAAATATTCGAAAATTGAACATTTTTGCGATTTGTTAATTAATAGGAATGATCTGCAAGGGTATATAAGCTTCGGCTGGCCGAAGCTAGCTTCCTTTCTTGTTTATTGATGAAATACTCCTTGGCCAAACGTTTTGTGTATGCCAGGCACTCCGGAAGATCCGCAAAGCACGCCATTTTTAGGATTTCATCGCTCTTTTCCGGAGACACTTTCAAACTTTGTCCCAAAAAAATACTTGTGAAAATGGGTCCAACCAGGCGGCGGACGAACTCGTTAAGAAGACTCTGTGAGGATTTTTCAAACAAGCTTTCCGTCAACCAAGAAATGATTTCCTTTGCTTCCTCCCAGATCAGCATATCCTCCTCGATCTCAAGATACTTCAGCATTTCGAGCACCACAGCCGCCTTTTCGATTTTGCTGTTATAGATGAGGGGATTAAGATCCAGAAAGAGACCGGCTCGATTTATACGATGGATGACCGAATGATTGGTCTGCAGCTGCCTGGCAATGGCCATTAGATTATCCGTATCGTAGTTGACGCGATAAAAACCGGTCTCCTGTTTGTTCACTATGATCCAGTCCGTGGCGCTGAGTTCCATATTAAGATCTTTTAGTGATACAGAATACTGCGATTGCGGGGGCATGAATATATCCGCTTGGGTGGTTTCGAAAGTGGGCGATCGTGAGGTGGCAAAGTTGAGCGGTATCCACCAGAGCTCTTCCTCTTCTAAATTTGATGTCTGGCTAAATGTAATGGAGTTATTCTCGTAATTCCGAGCGACCATCACCATGGGCACCCCTTCGCTGTGCGTCCAGGACAGCATGATCTCTCTTATCCGGGAGGCCCATGGCTTCTGCGAAAGGTTCTCATCCTCCTGAATTCTTTCCTGCAGGGCGTCGAAAAGATTCTGCTCGTTGGCCACGCTATAACGACTGGGCAAAAGAGCAGGTTGCTATTATTAATTGACCAATTACAATTGTCCAGTCTCAAAATCTTACTATTTCTCCAGGAAATGGCTAATGCCCCGCACGAAGGCCTTCTGGCGGAAAGCGTTGTGGAACATCCTGATCACATATGCAGCCCGGTAATAGGAGACGGAGTCGAAAACCTTCATAATATCCTCTTCCACATAATAGGTCATCGGTCGGATAGAGTGGCCGTCAGTGTAGACACTATTAGCCTCTTCGGATATGAAAACATCCATTATTTTGTAATCTGGGTAGAGCTATGAGTAAAAAATTTAAAGATTAAATTTGGAGAAACAATTTTTGTAATGTAAAATAAAAACCACAATTAGTTTTCAATTACTCACCAAATCGGTGATCACATTGCTAAAGTATTTGGCAAAACCCTCATTCAGCCAAGTGTAGCTCCACCACTCCGGTGAAACTAAATCGCCGAACCACTGGTGAGCAATCTCATGGCTCTGAGTAGTTTGGCCCCACAACGGATTATTTTTGGTCGTGGATACGTTCTGCAGCAAATTAGCTTCCTTGTAAGTGACTAGACCCCAGTTCTCCATTCCTTCCATAGCATACTTTAGCGCCACGTGATCTAGCTTTGGCAATGGAAAGGAAATCCCGAAATAATCCTCGAACGCCGCAAGCGTTCTTACGACATTCTTCAAGGCACTTCTACCCTTTTCCTTGGAAGTTGGCGAGGTGTAGATACTTTGGGTGACTCCGCGATACGTTTCAGATATGCTCTCGAAATCGGAGATGACGATTGCCACGAGGTAGGTGGAAATTGGCGGGGTTGTAAGAAACAAGGTCGTTTTCAGTTCGCTATAAGTAAAATCCTAAGTCGATTACTACTTTTAAAATTATTTAAATTAAACTTATTGACTTACCCATGAGTCAGAATTTCCTTGACTGGCATATTGGATAGGGCAGAGTAGGTTCTTCCGTGGGTTACCTTTATGCTAAAGTTTGACTTGAATCCAGGCTCATCGTAACAGGGAAAAATAAGACGTGCCATTGTGGGCTCCGATTGCGTTGCGGCTATGTATCTTTAAGATTTAAATAACACAGGTACACAGCCAAAAATTTCCACGAACCATTTCTAGTTTTCCATGATAATTGGGTGATCCTGAGTAAAAGTCCCATACAAACTTATGTCCCATCACCTACAGGTTCCGCGGTATAGCTAAGAATACAAAAAACCGATGTTTGCCCACATTTTGAATTACGTGGCCTATATAATTGGACTAACCTTTATTATTTTCGGTAGGACCTACTCTCAATACATCACGGCATTCCTAAAAAATAGTCCCCATTGTGAACCATTGCCCATGTCTTTGGAATTCGACGCCAAAGTTGAAAATCCCAAAATTGTAGAGATTTTTCTGATGTAAAAACAATTCTGAGGATTAAATCTTGAATGGAAGTAATTTTAACTATTCATTGTATCTATTGTTCATTGTATGCTTTAATTTCGGTTTAAAGCGTTTTCATGATGTAGCAATAAGTTACACAGACATACACATACATACATATATATTCCTAAGCAGCTGTTTATACATACATACACTTACTTTAAGTTAGGTCACACTATTTGTACATATATACATCCCTGTTACTCCAAGTAACACTATACTTATCTCACTCACACACACTATGTACCCAACCCTTGTGAAATAGGCTAAGCGTGCAGAGTTCTGCTTAATAAAGATCACTTTTGCTGCGACCATCAAACAAGAAGCACACAAATCGGCTGTCTACAATTTCAGAAGTGGGATCACTGCGAAAATTTTTTTTTTCGCATATCAAACTCTGCCTACAATAAAAACCAAAGCAAAAGTTAAAAGTACACTAGTGAAACTTGTTAATTAGTGAATAAAATCATGGAAATCATCGGTGCAGACGAGTATTCAGCAGCAGAACTTCGGGGCTGGCTAGAAAAGCTTGGGCTGCCAAAAAGTGGAAACAAGGCAACTCTCGCTGCTCGTTTAAATGGCGTGCCCCCCGAAGCCCGTGGAGTTTGCCCAGTACCGGATCCCAAGGATTTATTCGATGCTGAAGTTGGATCCGAGGAAAGGCCAAACACATCTACCGACAACGTAGCAGAACAAGATGGCGCCGGCACCTCATCGCTGGATGCCCACAACAACGCCGATGTCTCAAGTATCATGAACGTTCCAGAAGTTTCGCTGGAATTGGAATCTCTGAAGCGTCACTTGGAAATGATCCAATTGGAAAATGAGTTGCTCAAGTTGGAAGTTTCGCGCCGTCAGCCATCTATTAGAGTGACCACATCTTCGACAAGCAATTTGCCAGAACTCCAAAACAGCGTTGCCACACCAAATCCAAACAATGTTGCCCCATCGGATTCGGGAAATATTGTTGCAGAAGTTGCCAGATCAAACACAGCATTTTCTAACAACAATTCTTTGCTGACCATGGTCAAGGAAATGCTTCCAGTTTTTGACGGTGCTGCCAACAACAAGGTACCAGTTAGTACTTGGATCGCACAACTTAATGCAATTATCAAAATGTACAATCTGAGTGATGACGTGACTCGCATGCTGGTCATGTCAAAGCTGAAAGATCGCGCACAAATTTGGTTGCACTCTTCTGATAATCTGCTCGCCCTACCAGTACCGGAACTCTTAACACAACTCGCAGAAGCCTTTCACTCAAAGGAGAGCAAGATAATGTCCCGCCGTAAGTTTCAGGAGCGAAAGTGGCAATACTCTGAAGACTTCGCCACTTATTTCAACAACAAAACACTTTTGGCTGCGCACATCCGGATTGACGACGAGGAGCTAATCGACAGTATTATCGAAGGAATACCGGATACCCTTCTACGACAACAGGCACACATGCATTGCTTCAATTCGTCTGCACAGCTGTTGCAGGCGTTCGCCAAAGTTTCTTTGCGAAAACCATCCTTCGCATCTGGACGCCCCAAAGTTTCACCCGGAATCCAACCCGGACCCGCTATAAGATGCTTCAACTGTAACTCCATTGGACACTTCGCGGCCGACTGCCGCAAACCTAAACGCGCATACGGAGCTTGCTACGGATGCGGAAGTCTGGAGCACCTTGTATCCCATTGCACCGAGAAGAAAAACATAACCAACAACGAATATGTGAGACCGTTTAAAATTTTCTTTAATTCAGAACCTTATCAATGTTTGTCTTTAGAATGCCTAATCGATTCTGGGAGCCCAATTAGTTTTACAAAGTTATCCTGCGTTGAAAATATTCTGAGAAGCAACAGCATTAAGTTTAGTGAAAACAATAATACGAATTACGTTGGCTTAAATCACAGCCCTTTAGATATATATGGAAAAGTATCCTGTTTTATTATTATAAATAAAGTGAAATTTAATTTTGATTTATTAATTGTGGCAAACAAATCGATGGCATATAGTACTGTTTTAGGAAGAGATTTTATGAATATTTGTAACTTTAAGATTGTTAGGGAAAATGATTGTCCAAATGATTGTGAAAATGATAGGTGTTTAAATGATCGATATATTGAAAAAGATCGCCCAAATGATAGAGATTGTGAAAATGATAGGTGTTTAAATGATCGATATATTGAAAAAGATTGCTCAAATGATAGTGGTTGTGAAAATGATAGTTCTAACGATAGTAGTCTTAAAAATGACTGCCTCGGTGATAGTGGTATTGAAAATGATCGCTCGAATATTGGTTGGACTACAAACGATTGTGTTATTAATAGCGGTATAGAAAATGATTGTTTAAATGAGAGTATTGATATTAGTGGTTATGACAAGGAAGTTAGGAACGATCGCGCAGTTAAATTTATTAAAAAGGTTCGGTTTATAAATAGAGATGATCACGATTACAATAACGATAGAATTAAAACGGATGGGAATACAGATAGTATTAAATTGGTAAAAATGTGTAGTCAAGATAATTTGAAGTTCCAAGATAAAGAGCAATGTAATGAAAGCAAGCGAAAATTAGGTAATTCTTGCAAAACGATAGAGTTAAGTCCGAGTGCAAAATGTCAGCCCAGCGATAATTTTGAGTCAGAAATAATGTCAATTGAATATCCTGATCCAACCGATAGCAATCAGTTAAACATAAGCGATACGTGTGAATGTAATTTAAAGAACAAATTGATAGACATATTTGATAAGTTTTATACGAAACCAAAACGACCGGAGACACCTTTAGTTAAATGGGAAATGAAACTGAATTTTGACAATACTAAACCGTTCAATTACCCTCCAAGGCGTTTATCATACGCAGAGAAAAGTCAAGTCCAGAATTTGTTAGATGATTACATTCAAAACGGTATTATTCGAGTAAGCGAGTCCGAGTATGCGTCACCAATAGTCCTAGTTAAGAAAAAGTCTGGAGAGTTAAGAATGTGCGTAGATTACAGAACATTAAATAAGAACATGTTGAAAGATAATTACCCCACCCCCTTATAGACGACCTTATTGATAAACTTTCCGAAAAAATTATTTTTACCAAGTTAGATCTTAAAAATGGGTTTTTCCACGTGCACATGCACGAAGATTCAATTAAATATACTGCTTTTACAACACCTATGGGTCAATATGAATGGCTTAGAATGCCGTTTGGCTTACGAAACGCCCCTGCAGTTTTTCAAAGGTTCGTGAATAAAATTTTTGCTGATTTAGTTAGAGACGACAAGGTACTTATTTATATGGACGATATTTTGATAGCAACGAAAGATAGTAAGAGTCACATAGAAATATTAACGGAGGTATTTAAGCGATTGGTAGATAACAAGTTAGAGCTTAGGTTAGACAAGTGCGAGTTTCTCCAAAGTGAAATAAAATATTTAGGATACATAATATCAGGAGAGGGTATTAAACCAGATTCAAAAGGCATGCAAGCTGTTAAAGATTTTCCTATTCCGACAAAAACGCATGAAGTTCAAAGTTTCCTTGGATTGTGCTCCTATTTCAGACGATTCGTTAAAGACTTCTCAACAAAAGCTAAGCCGTTATATGATCTTGTGAGAAAGATGATTTAGTTATGATAAAAAATTTCGACTGTCATGTAGGCGTATCTAAAAAATTAATACCGAAATTTAAAGGCCCTTATAGAGTGACTAAAGTTTTGCGTAACGATAGATATGTCTTGGAGGATGTTGAAGGGTTCCAACAATCTAGGCTTCCTTATAAGGGAGTTTGGGCAGTAGCAAATATGCGGCCATGGATACAAAATGTAAATAGTTAAGAGATCAGGAGCTCTCCGGTCAGGATGGCCGAATTGTAGCAATAAGTTACACAGACATACACATACACATACATACATATACTCATTCCAGACTTAGACGCCTAGACTGCAACACTGCTAAACTTTTGTAACCAATCTTTTTATTCACTTTTTGTTAATTTTTATTTTTTTTTTTCATGGGTGAAAGTGAATTGAGTTTCACATAACACTCTTCAATAAATATTTGTTATGCATATCAAAAAAATACATACATATATATTCCTAAGCAGCTGTTTATACATACATACACTTACTTTAAGTTAGGTCACACTATTTGTACATATATACATCCCTGTTACTCCAAGTAACACTATACTTATCTCACTCACACACACTATGTACCCAACCCTTGTGAAATAGGCTAAGCGTGCAGAGTTCTGCTTAATAAAGATCACTTTTGCTGCGACCATCAAACAAGAAGCACACAAATCGGCTGTCTACAATGAGAATATTTTTTATTGGATTTATTATACTAATAAAACCGATTTTTTTATTTCATTATCTACTCCTAAATGTTGTCAAATTTTAAAAAAGTCAAGGCATCCTACAGAATGGGAGTAAACATTTACATTTTTCTATGTATGTTCAGTGAACGTACTTTAGTTTCTTAGTTCTAGAGGTTGCCATGACTTATTCAAAATTTGACAACATTTAGGAGTAGATAATGAAATCAAAAAATAGGTTTTATTAGTATAAGAAATCCAATAAAATGTCCTCATGAAAACGCTTTAAACCGAAATTAAAGCATACAATGAACAATAGATACAATGAATAGTTAAAATTACTTCCATTCAAGATTTAATCCTCAGAATTGTTTTTACATCAGAAAAATCTCTACAATTTTGGGATTTTCAACTTTGGCGTCGAATTCCAAAGACATGGGCAATGGTTCACAATGGGGACTATTTTTTAGGAATGCCGTGATGTATTGAGAGTAGGTCCTACCGAAAATAATAAAGGTTAGTCCAATTATATAGGCCACGTAATTCAAAATGTCGACCAACATCGGTTTTTTGTATTCTTAGCTATACCGCGGAACCTGTAGGTGATGGAAAATAATTTTGTATAGGACTTTTACTCAGGAGCACCCAAATATCATGGAAAACTTGAAATGGTTCGTGGAAATTTTACAAAGTTTAATTTTGTGTTCCTGTGTAATTTGTTCTTGTACTTGTATGGAAATATTTAAGGTTCTACTCTCACCTATACGGTAAGCATTGAAGTAATTAAAAAATTCAAAAATAAATTTTTTGAAAAAGCACGTTTTAAGGTTTTCAAATTGCCTTCAATCAAAAAGTTTATTTAATCTAGGTAGCGTACATTTCAACCATTTAATTGATGTTTTGCTCTTCCTTTATATTTATAATTTGACAAGACTAGAAATGGAATAACGAATTTCTTTTACCAAACTCGAACTGTTTTACGTGTCGTATGAGTAATATTTAGAAAAAAATATGAGGACGTTTTGCTAGGTCTAAGTCCAAAAAAAGTTTTTTTTTACATACATTTTACTTACATTGCTCATTTTAATCTACCATGTTACCATGCAAAGTGGTAAGAATAGGATTTCATTTTTTTGGACCGCCCTCTTTTTCATACTTCTGAAAATTTTTGGAATTCGTGAAGTGAAAAAAATGTGTTATTTAAAGAGTGCACCACAAAATAATTGATTTGGATGTGCTACCGGCTTAAATCAACCTACTATCTGGCTAATCTAAAATCATGAGTCATACGAATAAGTTGCACAAAAAAATTCAAAAGAAATCGGAGACTTGAGCGTAATACAATTTTATTGCTCATTTTTTTGTCACTATCTACCGGGAACTGATAAGGTGCGACTATTCCTTTTGTCAGTTATTCCCCGTTACAAAGAACTAAAAAAAAAACACATCTTGAAGGGAGTAAATGTCTTTACAATCTCACCTTTAACATGCTAAAGTTCTGATATAAAATGTGTAACCTAAATGTGTCAAGACCTATACAACTTGTTTATTAAATATTAATTACATACACACAAAAAAATTTGCTTGGTAAAATTGACCAACAAAGATAGTTACGTAACTATTAAAATAGTTACGTGTATTTTGTTTTTGCTTTGGGTTTGTGTCTTTGCTAATTGTGTGTATTTTGTTGTTGTGAAATGACTATTTACTTAGTAGAATTGACAATTTTGCTGGTTGGGGCCTGTTTGACAATTATTGCAGTTGATTTTACCAAGTTTTTTTTTGTGTGTACAAATTGTGTTACACTATTATTTCACTGAATTAACTTTGCTATAAAGATTTTTTGTACCAAACTTAAGTTGTATTCTGTATTAATACTGTGGGTTATACAGCAAGTGTCGTTTTAAAGATACAGTGGGTACCAGTTGATAAAAAGTGGTCAAAAACTCAAAAGCCCTTTGAGCAACATATTTTACATACAACTTTTAAATTGAGCTAAACTGTTGCTACGAAACATAATGTACTTACGAGGTGCGATTGTTCTCCTGATCCCAATAATCCATGTAGTACAGACCTCCGGGTTGCGATGCCATTGTGGACTTGTAAAGGATCTCCAGGTGATAGCGCTGACCCTTCTCGAAGGCCTGGTAATTCTTCCTTGGATGGATGATGAGGAAATCGGCTGAGTGATGGAGTGTGTGCGTCAGGTCGGGAACAATTACGGATCCTTCGTCCGTCAACTGGAGGACAGTAATCTGAATATCGGACAGGTTTTTGGCGTGCAGCACAATCTCGTTCGTCGACTGCCGAACGGCTATGTCAATGGTCGCATTTCCGAAGAAGTCCAGCGTTCCCTTGTGAATATCACTGGATATGTGCAGTTGGTAGAAAATGGGATAGGTTTCGTTGGGCAGGCGCAAAGAACGCTCCTGCTGGGATACCGCCAGAGATCCGCTAACCACCAGGGCCATTGTGACCAGAAAAGCACCCGACTCTGCCGACGCGATCATGGTGATACGTGAAACGCAAATCGAAACGAAGACTGTATCTGTTCGCGGCCTGGGAGCCGCAAAGACTGAGTGGCGGTGAGTAGCATCACGGTGATTTATGCTAAAGCCTCAACCGTCCCGATGAGATAAGCTGGACAGCTGATCGATGGAGATTCGTATAAGAGAAACCCCATAATCGTAATCAATTAGGTTGGAAGGCCTAAAAGCAATAAAGAGCCAAGCCAATTATTTGTTTTTTTATTTTTTTATTATTTTATTATAATAAATTAAAAAAAAAATTTTAAGTTTGTCAAAAATTTAAATTACAAAAAAAAAAATTCTTGGCTCCAGCTGTACTAATCCGATTGACTTCGATTTTTTTCTTTAAAATCTTTTTTTAACCAAAAATAAAATAATATGCACTATAGTTTTAATAAAAAAAAATATTAAGATTTAAAAACAAATATTTAAGCGTGCCACCTACAGCTTGACTTTTTTAAGCTGAAATTTAAATACCTTTTGCAGGGGTTTACAAATCAGAACTTGTTGCTCAGTGTAATGTATGAGAAATATTAGTAACGGAAATCATTTCATTTGCAAAATGTTCTGTCCCATTTTATAAGATTAATGCCGGAAATGCCGATGCTGCCGGTAAGTTCAATCTCATAAAGATCCCGCTCGTACATCTGGGATAACCCAAATGAGTATAGTGAGTCATTGGTCCAATCGAATTCGGAAGCTGATAAGGAGATATGGTCATTCCTTTTTATAAATAAAAAGAAGACAAACGAAATGTTTTTATAATGTTTTAATTTATTATTTGAATAATTTTTTCACAAACTTTTCTTACTTTTCTTACTACCTACTTTATTGATTTTATTAGATAAATGGTTTGGTTACTTTTTATTTTATTTTTTTTTTTTAAGTCGTTTTTATTAACTCCTTACTGAATTTTTGCTTCTTATGCAGAAACATTTGTGTATTGTTTTTCCTTTTAATTTTTATTAACTGCAGCAAAATATATATTGGCGAAAATTTCGATTAGTTATTATTTATCGTAAACATTTTTCAATTCGGGTTAACTCAAAAGATATAATAGATGAAGAAATGGTTAGTCATTTTATTGATTTTTAAGGAATAACCTGAATTAATTATAGATAATTGTGATTTTTTAAAGAACTACCAAAGTCGGTCAAGATTACATTTTTTTTAAATAGTATAGTATAGATTCTATACCCATTCCCACCTCAGTCTTTTTGCGAATGACTAAGCTGCCAGATATGTCCTATTTTTGAGCGAACGTTACTTTGGGAACTACAGCAGCTGAAGCTCCTCGAGTGCAGGTTCCCGTCTCCCAGCTGTCGATACTCTACTAACTGCATTTACCCCGAACCAGATCCATATGCACATCTACATCCAGTGACTCGATCTCCCGGGGACCAAAACCAGAACCAGGAATAGGACCTGACCCCTTTTCTGAGGCACATACGGTTAATGAAATTGTGCACTCAATCGAGCGTAATGCCGAGCGAAAGTCAGCAGAAATCGAGGCTGTCGCCGATATGCAATCCTTCTCGATGATGAGGTTCTGCTTTCCGGGGACGAGTGCCTTCCACCTGCGAATCCCAATCTCCACCTGGGTGGCTACAAAAAATTAACATCAACGACACTAAACTGCTATCGCTGGCAGCATAAAGCTTGGCAATGTGTGTTTGCATCCCAGTATTTGGAGTCTGAGGGTGCGAGAGGAGTGACAGAGGGTTGGCCTGGCACAAACATAAAATGTTGTCTGGGCCATAAGCGAACCGCAGCCAATCCCCGATCCGCAGGTCCAATGTGATTTTGGATATTTAGCGTATTAGGTAAATGGCTCGCGTTTTTTACTTGCCGCATCCGATGCAAGTTGGCTTTGTGCACCAGCTCATAGCTCCACCATCCCAGGATGTCGTGCTGTTTCGAGTGCTCCCTCTTTGCTATTATTTCTTTTTCTGGCTCCTCTTAAATGGCATTTGGAATTTTAACGACCATAAATGCAAGCTTATCTTAAATGCTCTTTTATGGCTAAATTTATGTTTGGCCCGGTGAGCCCGGCTTCTTTTCCAAGCACTCGGTGGAGCTCTCTCTCTATGGCTGCCAACTTGAGATGATGAGTTTCAATTACCCTTACGTGAGTATGAATATAGGTTTATAGACCGGCTGCATTCAGCTAATTTTCCACTAGCGGCGGCCTGGGGAAATCCAAGTTGTGTCTGGCGCCTCGACTGAGTTATGATTTGTACTTCTTCTTAGATTAGCCGGCATAAATATTCAAGCAAGTGCTGTGATGCCAATAAATCGCATAATTTATCTAACCATAATTTACCTACATATATCCAAGGATATAGGAGGGCCAAATGCTAGCTTGTAGCAATTTTTCAGCCATCCCGCCATTTGTTTACCTTCCAGGCAATTGTCCCCCCACTCCGATGGCTCCCTTTGGTGTATGAAAAATGACGCTGCCAATGTCTATTATTAACACAAATGTATTTTGCCCCGGTCGACAGGCGAGTGTCCCCATTTATCGCACATGCTAAACGGCACTCGTGGGAACTATCTGCCAGGACATTTATCTAACACACCAGCCATATCGCTATATCTGTATCTACATCTGGGCCAAAGGACTCTTTGGCCATTTGATCGGCACATGTAACTGTCATCGCTCTGTTGGCTAATTAATTGCGCAACAACCAGAATTGTGTGTTTATTTAGGCCGCTCTAACCGAATTAGCAATTATTATTGAACTGTTTTATTTGTTTGGCCGTTGGGAAAGTATAAAAAAATACCTCCCAGCGGCCCATTTAGCGCGATTTGTGGCCCACTGCGTCGATTTTCCATAATTCACTTTGGCCCTCGAAACGATGGCAGGACATTTCCCAAACATGACGTTCATATACGAACTTTTCAATTAAATTCATTACACCTTCTTCCGCCGCCCGTCGCTTAATTTCCCAGCAAACACTAAGTCATTTCCGGCCAAACGGCCTGGCCATTACCTTGATTATCATCTCAAGTTCGAGTCGGGCATGGAAATTCCTATTCCCACTCCGCACCTGACACGTTTTTCACGTTTGTTTGCCCCGGTTTGAGGTCGCCAGGTTTCAAGCACTAGCCCAAAATAAATAAAAAAAGAGCTGTGCTTGGACATCGACCAGGGGATATCCTGTTTTCGATCATTTTTATTTCAAAACTTTTTATTATAAAGCATTTGGCTACTACAGCCAAAAAAAATTATTATGAAACAATGATCGATTTGATGTTATGTGCTACATAATATGTGGTATCAACTTTGACTTGATATGCGGGAACCTCAATTCGATATGCTCGAAGGCCAGTTCGAATTTCGAATGTGTCGTCTCCCTCTCACTCATGTAATTTTAAGCGCTATTTCGCTCTATTTTAAGTACCAGGAATACCAGACATTTGCCATGCGCATATCGCTTTCAATTTTTTTTGTTTAGTTTTCCAAAAATTAGCATATAAAATTAAATTTTTTTAAGAAGACTTTTATTATTATTATTTATTTTTACCAAAATATTTGAAATTGAATTTTCTTAGCCAAACGATTCAAGAGTGCTAGGCCTTACGTTTCACTGAAACCATATCCCCTTTACAACTTGTTTCTACATGGAAAATAAAAATATCCTGGCTTTTTCCGCTCACTTTTTGTGACTTGCACGCGCCAAAACAAAAGTTGACAAACCAGCGAGACATCGGGGCCAAAAGGTAACATTCTCGCACAGCAGCAGGATTCGCAGGATTCACAGGAAGCGGGATGAAAGCGGAGACACCTGGTCCTGGTTTTAGGTCCCTTTGTTGCTGTCGCAGCTCGTGCTGCGCCCAGTGAATTATTTTTTACGTAAATTGGGTGTGTTTTCTATTATTGCCCCAGACTTCCGGCGTGACACAGCGCCTGTCAGCGTGGCAGCACAGCGGCAGCGAACAAAAGCCACTTGTTTCAAGTCGTTTAAGTTATTTTAAATTTGAAACGTGGTTCGTTTCGGTTTCGGACAATGCCGGCACTTGATATGAAATATTTTCCCCCATTTTTTCACTCTAACTTTGCGCTCTGGCTGGCATTATTTTGTGCCTTCTCATTCCCATCTGACGACCGCCTGTCCGGGCAAAAAATATGACAACTCAGCCAGAAAGTGACCAACGCAATCCCGTCCAGATGAGTGGAGGCGCCCAAGCAAGAACTGCGTCGAGTGCAGGAAGGTGTTGAGGAAATTAAACTCATTGTCGACAGGCACTTGAGGTTTTATCGTTTTTTTTTGTTCAAGGTTTTTTCTTGGTTTTTGATTTTGGAGAAATAGCGAAAGTGCAAGGCATGAAATTATTTTTTGGTTATAATCATACTAATATACTAACATTTAAAAGGAAAATTTATGATAGTTATTTTATTGAAAAATATACAAATATTATTTTTACATTTTTCTTAATCCTAATTTTGAGTTTAATAGTATTAAACTTGTATTTATATTTATAAATTTCTTAGATAAGTTCACAAGATATTCGTTGAATTAAAACCGACTTAAACTTTTTTTGATAATTTTAATTTAATTATCAGATACCCAAGACAATCGCTTTGCGAAACCCTGTACAATAGAATGACTTAGGAATTTTTGATTGTCGGAGAAAAGGGATTTTAATTAAGCCATTTCTTCTCACACACACCCAAAACAAATTACTAATCCCCATCTTAAGCCGTTAAAACTTAATATTAATCCGCACCTCTCCAAATCCACCCCACCACCCAAACTGAGAAGCAATTAAAAAATGTTTGTAGCCTACTTAGCGGGGCGGGGGAAATTGCACTTTGTCAATTGCTCTCACCTAATCAATTATGTATTGCTTTTGCTCTTTTAATTATCCCACACCCACACAGGCGATCCACAATCAATTTCGCCTGTCACACTCGACATTTCACATAATTCGCCCGATAAAAAGGAGCAGGCCGAGAGCATTTCGTAGCCAATTGACG